TCGCGAGGATAAACCTACAACATCTCAGCAGTGTGTAATTTTTGGCCATGGAAACCATAATATGTAAGTCTACATGGTCTTGTAGTACAGATTTGATTAGTTTAAGTATACCTGAACAGGCACCACTCACCACAGAGTGGTATTCAGAGACATGCCCCTGAAAAATAACAGGCACATATATATATACTAAAAGGTAACTTACCCAGTCACTGTCTCATGAAAGAACAGGAAAAAACAGCAACCCAAAGCAGAGAATGGGAGATGGATGTATGAGATGTAGTCCTAGTGCTCAACAGATGAAGTACCGAGGTAGATATGTAGGGGAAAAGGGAATGTGAATAATCAGAGTAAAGACATAAGAAAGTGAAGACGGGAAGAAGAAGACAAGTAATAAAAGGCCAATCGAATCACAATCCAAACCCAATGGGTAAGGGATGTAGGGAAAAAAAATCACAGACAAAGAAGAAGTGGAGTAAGGGAAGGAAACCATGGGAAATTAATTCAATGGAACGAAGCCTTGAAAACAATAAAGCAACCCACAGCATGTACTGGACAGAGAAGGTCATCTGGATCCCACCAAGAAGAAATATGGAAGATGGTAAGAAATGAAAAAGTCAAAAGAAATATTGCATATGAGCCACTAAAATGTAGATTAATAAAATCACTCCAGAACAAAAGAAAAAAAAATGAGCCAAAAGAGCTGAGAAAACTAAAGCAGTGCTGGCCAGGAAAGATCAATCATAATGACCTAAACCAGTGTGACATGGATGCACAAAAATTTGAGGAAGAAAGCTGACGGAATGAGAAAAAAAACTGACGTTAAAACTGAATGTAAACCCGTCTGAACTTAACGACAGCCAGGACAAGTGGATGATGAACCGGGGACCAAAAACAAAAGAGGAAACTAACTAGGAAGTGATAAAACATTCAAAACTTCACATGGAGGAGTACCTCACATGAGGCAGAGCCACTACAATTTAGGAGGATCGAGAGGTCACTCCTTGGTAGAAAGTATATCGGGACTGGAAAGTCAATTAGCAATGAGGACAAAGTACCTGGAAGAGGACTCTCCAGGAGATGTATGTCAAGTGTGTGGGTTCAGAAAAGGAAATCCATTGTTTACCACAAAGAGAACAAGAATGAGTGTCCCCTTGGCAGGTTTATAAGCCACCACCATCAAAAAGTCGAAATTGAACAGGATTACTCAAATCTGGACAAGAGGAAAAGAGTGAACTAAAGCACCTTGGATAGGCAGAAGTACACGGGTGGGAAGGTGGTAAGACCTTTCATCTGTAGACCATTATCCTGAAGCCTATTACTGATAGAACCACACACACCCCACCTTTGAAAATGAGAATCAGGGAAGAGAAACAATACAGAAGAGGGGAGGAAGTGTTAAACCCTATGTCATGAGGAATATGTTCAACTATCAATGCATATAGACAAAAAGAGAAGGGTAAAAATTATGAGGAAAACCCAAAGTAAAGGTTTGGATAACATAAAACTCCTTCACATGAATTCAAGGAGGAGAATGGATGGTCCCAATTGAAGGGGTGTTTAAAAATACCCACCCTAAAGAGACTATAATATGAGGTATGTAACAGAAGAAACTTATCCAACTATTTGAACTGACTGTGGAAGGAGTAGATGTGTATGTTAAAACAGCCAATGAATGGTGTAGGTAAAATCCCCCAAAGTGTGAAATGTCAGATAAAATGCAGACTGCCACACAAAAGACATATGGAACTGAAACAAATCTAAAAGTCAAGGCATGAAACTGGTACCCAATCATGTGGTGAAAAAAACAAGAATAAGAATGTGTACTATGGACATTTTCAGTCATGCAGAAACAGCCTACCCAAATGTGATCAAAGACTACATATTAAAACAGGGAAGGCCCAAGAAGTGATTGAGGTGGGACAATCGAACCAAAATCCCAAACAGCATCGAGCATACAGAATGAATTAAAAACCTGCAGGTAAGACAGGTAAAGGACAGGAAGATGCCAAACATGTAAAAGGAATAAAAATTATAATATCTCAGAATAAAACAAAAGAGCAACTAATATAAATTGAATATAGCATCGCAGATATCCCAAGTGATGCTAAATGTACAGTAGTAGCCCCAAAAATGGTGGTGGAGAAAAATAACTGCCCATAAGTCCCTATTAGCAGTGTCCCACCTTAGAAGATCCCAAAAGTAAAGAAGCTATGTGTAGAGGGAAAGAACTGAAGATAGCAAACACCCTAATATGGAGGAAAAAAGGATATATCCCATGATAATCCCTAAATAAAAGTGGAACACTGAAGAAAGGAAGTGGAAGGTAAATATTAACTGTAAGAGAGTTGATAGGGTAAAATAGAAATGTGAATGACATAAAATCAGAAAGAAAATCTGCTTGTAAGCTAAGACAAAAATAATTCAAGTCTGTAAAGGGTGAGGCTTGCAAGTACCTACTCTAAAAAAAAAGATGAAAAGATAATCATGAAACAATGTCATGAGAAGGGGAATATACCGTGAAACATGTCTAAAAAACTGAGATAGGCCTAGTAGATTCTGCAGTAGAGGAATGGAAGGCAATCCATGATACGTTTTGTAGGAAAACTGACAAAATCTAGGTCACCTGAAAATGGATTCAGTCATTATAGGAGGAAGGTGAGCAATACTGGGAGCAGGAAGGGTGGACCCTGGCCTCCAGGAGCCCTCACAAATGAAATTAATAGTAAGAAGTATAAACTAAAAAGAAAGAAAAAATTAAACAGTCAATATATTGGAAATGTTAATAAACTGTGTAGTGAAATAAACATACGGATGTGATGTAATGTGTTGAAGAAAAGATATTTAACCTAATTAGAGCTTAACCCGTAAATAGAACTATGGGTAAACCAAAAATAACAGACACTTGTTAAGCCTAATCGAATGGTACAGAACAAAGGATATCACTAAACACTAAAATAAAAATCTTAACCTAACAATAAGTATGTACAACAGTGGGAGAAGTTTATATGGACCCCAGCTCAAAGGTTCCACACAAACCAAGTGAATAGGAAGAATGATAAAAGATAAATAATAACAAAAATAAAATACACATGATTGTATAAAACTAAGTAAGTGTGTAGTAAAAATAACATACGTATGAGACATGATGTATGGAAGAAAAAAAAAATGTAGTTAAACTAATGATTGATATACCAGTAAGATGAATTACAAGTAATCCTAAGATAACAAAGACCATGGTAAGCCTAAGTGAAAGGTACAGGAGAAAAGATACAACTAAGACTAATTGTTAACCTGAACTTGAGTATGAGTATTGAGCAGTCTAACTAAACTTATTTTATAGAACACAAAGAACTACAGAAAATAATATTAACAATAACATTATTCAAAAACCATAGCAGTATAATGTATTATCTTTCCAAAGTTGGTGGACTGTATTTCAAAATGTGTGGACCCCCAAACTTGAGGCGAAGCTCAACAAAGGTCAGTTCATTGGATAATCAATCTCCTAACAAAGTAAAGCCAATAAATTCCCCGCAGAGTACCACCATCTGAAGCCTGTGTAAATGTGCTGACAGAACATATAACCTCCGAAGTGGTAACATGTAATTCATAATTCAAAATAAATAACCAAACATCACTGTCTTGGTAGAAATAAATAAGCTGTTGTTGTAATGAAGTAATAAGTTCTCTAACCAGGTAGAAATATAAAATAATTCCACTTTGGAATAACTCAACAAGTTATAAGTATCATTATTGTATAAATTGATACATAGATATGAAAAAAATAAATAAAACACTTGAAGAGAGCAGAAATTAAACGTTACAACATGAATACTGCCAAAAGAGAAGTGATAATTTGGTAGAATTGAATAGAGGGAGTAACGAGCATCAAGAGAGTGTGTTGCACTCTTATTGGTGGAGGGTTGTCGCATGATGATTTGCATGCAAGACACATTTGAATCAATCGATTCAAAGATGGGTGAGGGCTTCAAGGCTTGTGGCACACAAAATTTTTTTGCATATAGAGGGCAGCACTGAGTGAGAATAGCTATGAGAGGAGGTAATGTACTGTATCAGAAGTATGAATTGAGAGGACATACCTGGTCAGCCACAATCCATAAATACTCTTTGGAGTCACCTAACCTTTCAGTAAATTAAAGGTTCCAAATTAAATGAGATTAGCATTGTCCATATTATTATTCCACCTCCAGCCATGTAAATATTTGGCAGGATGCTTCATCATAACAGAACTCTTCCATTTGTTTGAAACAGAGTAAAATAGTTGGACTGTGCAACTTTCTTCTATTCATCCAGAATCCAGTCCTGATATTCACAATATATCTTTCCCAAACACCACTGTTTGTTTCAGTGTGTTTAGAAGGACAACCCCACTACATGGGCATCTATTATCCTGCTCCTTGTGAAGTAGCTTAAGTCTTTTTCGCTTGCTCATTGTATAGAGTAAATAAAGTCCATCCATGCAGAACGTGCTTATATATACCTACTACATCATGTAGAGCACTATGTAATCCAGCTTCCTTTACACAAGGGGAGGGGGGAAGTTAATAACTGCAATGATGGGTATTCTATAATTTTCTGTAGATAACTCAGCTTATATTAATTGGGCACTCATATTTATACAATCTCTTTTTTTTGTGAACCAAGTAATATACCACTGAATTGATTGAACTTGATGAGAAATTGCACAGAATGATCAATAAAGTTAACAGTATGTGTCAAAAGCTTCAGAATGAGTTTGGCTGCTTAACACATTAAAAAAATTTCAACAGTGACAGTTGACTTTTTTTCTGTATTTAAATAAAGAGAAATTTCATACAGACTGCAGACTTTATGACACAGTGGTTCGAATTACATTAATGATTCTTGTTTACACCTACTTATATCTTCTGCAGCACTGAGACCTGCAATAAATCTACTTCTAATAGGTTAAAACAAAATTTATAATAAATACACGAGTTAAATTTTAAACGACAACTTACCTTCTAGCAAATCTACTGTCATTCCCTCTACAAAAACATCCCACCATCGTTGATGTTTAGATGTTCTTCCAGACCAATCAGATATTTCAAATTTAGAGAGCTTTCCAGCCAAATACATCAAAGCAATGGCTGTTATTTCTGGTTCCCATTGTAGGCACAAAGTTGTACATAAGCTGTATAAAACATAAAAAAAGGGTTCTAAAATATAATTTTCAAATAGTAACTGATGTGACTGCACATACACAAGAACAGAGCTACTTTGATTATCATGAACCTGTCAGAAATAACAGTTTAGGTCAAGGAAAAAATACTTTTGTTTCCAGTTATCTGGTCTACTTTGTTTTTTTATGACATGACTAATAAATTCCGCAATTTATATGCAGCCCCATGTTTTTTCAATAAAATAAGACATTTTTTTTTAACAACCATGCCATCATTTTGACAATTCAGAACTGGAGGTATTTTTATGAGATTACGAATTAAGTCCACAGATCAGTCTATTTACAACATTAAGAGTTTGACAGAAATATGTTGGCATGGAAGTGCTAGAAAGTGTCTTATCTATATCATAAATACATCAGAATTCTTAAACAGAGAAAAACTTGTTGCTATTTGGAAGAAGAATATTTAGGAACTCTTTCATAAACTAGTTTCAAAAGTCAAAATGGTATTATAGCAAAGAATTTATGTAGACAATAACCTATGCAGCATCAGTTTATATTGTAAGTCATCAGGTGTATATATATATAGTCATGAAAATGAATATCTTCCCCAGGGTTTTTATATTTTCTTGACAACTTAAGGAATTTTGTTTTAGGCTTGTAAGGGTCTTGAGAAGCCTGTGAATTTCAATAAAACCTACTGGCTCAACAATAAGTTTATAACATTTAAAATTTCATATAAAAAGTATTAAAAAGTAAAAACAATTTTCTGTGATGCAGAAAAGGTAAGTAAAAAACTAAACTGTCACTGCAGTGACTTGCATCTCTATTTTGTTCCCATTTTTATGCGTATTTTTATTGAATGTCATACTACTGTATTGTGTATTTGGAAGGGTATTCATTTTAAAAACACAATTTTTTCATATTAGGTTTAGTTTATGCACTGATTAAAAAGACAGGGAAACACAAATAGAATATTACAGGAACTATTAGGCCTAAAGCTGTGTTCTCTAACATTCAGAAAGACATTATAGTTTCATAATATTATCCTACTGTCGATGTAAGTAGTATTATGTTATTAATATACATTTTTAAACTTGTTAAAAAGCTATTTTAATCCAAATATTATATAATTATTAATCATCAATTGAATAATAATGAAGTTCATAAACATAATGTTGTAGGGCTATACACATTGAGATTAATGTTCTATATGTGTAGCCATAAAACTAACCTATTCATATTTGAGGTTAATTAATTGTATTAGTTCAAATATTAGAGAAGCATTCTGAAGTTGAGGTATAAAAAGATTATGCAGGATGTAAAAAAGATAAAGTATAAGAAACCTTACTACCTTAAAGATAAATGTACAATAAAAACAAATCTCTACCTACCTACCTAATTCTAAAGTGTGAAACTATACATATTATAACTCTGAATTTGCTAAAACTATCTTCACAAAATATGGTAAATTGTTAGTAACCATTATAAGTCCTTTGTATAAAGAAATAATATAATAAAGTATTTTTACAAAAGATTTGTCTGTGAATTTAAGTCTTTACAGAGTCAAAGTTTATATTATTCCTTGTCATTATGTGCAGTTTGTGCTTCTAATTGGTTGTGTTGTAAGCCTAAGCAGCTTATTTTTGATGTCAGACAATTCTGAAAGGCAGAAATTGAAGCTATGACACATCAGTTGACTCAGAAGAGTGAAAACTGAGAATTATTTAAAATATTACCTTTTGCAATTAAGATATTAAACTTAGATAATAAAGAGTTGAATTATAAATTGTTTTCTTTCTGTTTGTTGTTAAGCACAAAGCTATACTGCTCTCCTCACCTTGGCTATTGAAATCAAGTTTTAATGTTACAAGCCTTCAGGCTTCCTTCTGAGTCACTGAGGGAAAACCTACATTTTGATGTCATATTTATTAAAATATATATCAATAATAAAGCTGTTTAACTAAATTTTGAATGTAGCTCTGTAAAAGGTTCACAATATTCACACTTTGATACAGTCATAATAATGGGGTTAAATTTACCAGTAACTAAATTAAATACTTCTTGCCTAACTATCAGTTCTTTTCTGTCAGTCTATTGTTAAATTAATAATGATAATAAAAAAAAGACAATTGAATGTAGTTCAACTCCTTATTTGAACTTTTAAATAATCATTTTATTACAATAATCCACCAATTCGTCCAAAGATTTTTATGCTTTGTCCTTTCATGAGACCAACATAAGTTATGTATTAAAGGTAGTATGTGGAATTCACATTAGGCAACATAATCTCTAATAACAAACAGAGAATGAGCCAATTCTTCTTTTACAGTGTTTACAAGATAACTAAGACATATAATAGTAGTTTAAGAATCTTTAAGAAGGGAGATTGGCAGGTGTTGCTAAACTGTCTGTAACACCTTTAAAAGTCAAGATAAATAATATGTATTTGTGAATTTAGTTGTAAATGGAAAATATATAAATAACTTCAGTTTTTCTATAGCCAAAAAAAGGAAAAAAGAACACATAACAGAATGACTGGTAGAGAAGGTTAGCTACTGGTCAAAAATTTGATCCTTCCAGACCTTGACCAATTACTGGCCAAGTAATTATATTAATCCCTTTTGAGATGGGTCACAGGTGAAAGGCCATGTCATCTCGTTTGTTGACGCGCATTCAAAATTTTATTGAACTACTATTTCATGAATTAATGTCAATAAGTTTGGTATCAAATTGCAGATTATAATTCAAATTTTAAAACTATACATTACTCAATTTGTTAAGTAAATATAAAAAAAAACAGATAAAATTGATTTGTGTATGTCACGTGGTATGTTGAATGCAGCACTGGTTCAAATTAGATGATTGTGATGTCAAAATACAAAGTCTATAGTTTTGTACAAATTAGGAACTCAAATTACTGATATTTACAAGCTAGAATATAAATTCAAAACCTCCTATCTTTCTATTTGCTGAGATATTGCTCACGTAATAAATCAAACACAGTGGCACCCAGCTCACCTCTCTCCATTTTTGAAAACACTCCCTTATATACACTTACTTCTATTTATGACATGAATAACCAATCAAAAGCTCAGAATGTCCCCCTAGTGGTTTTCTCAGCCTTTCTAATGTTCCTTCCACGATATCTTTATTTTGAACCAAGATTTCAATGAGGTAGGTTGTGTCTTTAGTGTGCTCGAAATTTCATATTTTTTTTTAGACCAAAATAAAGCTTAGTTACTAATCTTGATAAATTATAGTAGAATTCTATGGCATTGATGTAGTAATTTATGATTTTTTAGTTATTCAAATGTATATATAAAATCTAAAAAAAATATTTTGTTTCATATCCTCCACGTGCAAAATTTTCAAAGGCTTAGTAACTTACATCAAGCAGCAACCAAGTACAAAGGTCTTAACTAAAAGAGATAATTGTTTGCCTTATTTCTTTATCTACTGTTCTATGTTTCAGGAAAAATAACTTTAAGAAATAATTTCAAAATAATAATAATCTATATACATATATAATGTAGGCAGATTTTGTTAAACAAGACCGATGTCTGTAGGTTTACTTTCTTCTTAGAATTCTTCTCAAGAAGTCGATAAGCCATCTTAACGTTGTTAGAACAACGGGTAAAAGTTGTAGCTAGTGATGAGTTGGCCGACGCGTTTCGAATGTTTCCTGTAGGACAACTCTGTGCTTAAATTCACCCACGAAATATCCACTGACAAAACCATCAATTTTCTGGATGTACATATTGACGCCAACAACAGC